TTTTATTATTCCATTGGGTTTGGCTGATGTAAAAATCAAAGGGAGTCTCAAGCGAAACTGTGTTTTTCTGTGCGAAATCAATGTAAAAACAATGAACAAGCAGGTTTCGCTTGAGACTCCCTCCGGATTTTACAGCAGCCAAGCTCAATTGATTATAATATGTTGAAAGAGTCTCAAGCGAAACATGTTTATATATATATATATATGTATCAAAAAGCGTTTTTCTTTTATTATTATTATATATAGTAACATAAAAACCTTGGGAACCTCACACAGGTCCAGACCGCTCAAGATCCCCACAAAAGGAATCAATTTGTAATCCGCCACAAAAGGATTCCTTTTGAAATCCGCCAAAAAAGGAATCAACTTGTAATCCGCCACAAAAGGATTTCCTTTGCAATTCGCCACAACAGGATTTCCTTTGTAATCCGCCACAAAAGGAGTCAACTTGTAATCCGCCACAAAAGGATTCCCTTTGGAATTCGCCACAAAAGGATTCCCTTTGTAATCCGCCACACTAGGATTCAATGTGTAATCCTCTACAAAAGGATTCCATGTGTAATCCGCCACAAAAGGAATCAATTTGTAAACCCGCCACAAAGGGAATCAACTTGTAATCGGCCACAAAAGGAATCAATGTGTAATCCGCCACACAAGAATCAATTTGTAAGCCGCCATAAAAGGAATCGATCTGTAGTCTGCCATAAAGGAGAATCAATTTGTAATCCTCTATAAAAGAACGAAGAAAGAAGGAGGAGGAGGAGTATTAACGCGAAGTAGATGCCATCAAAATGGACCAAGAGGGTGGTCCACGGGAGTCCCATGCCAACTTGTTCCCCCCGAGGGGACTCCCAGAATCCCCCGTTCTCGGATCTTCAAGGGTACCCACGAAGGATGTCCGCGCTCAACCACGTACATGAATACGGCCCCCCCAGTCGGGGAGACCAGCCTCGTGATACGAACGTTCGCGCAAGACGTAGTTTCGAAACCACTGAGAAATCATGTGCTGGCCCAAAGTGCCCCTAGGATTTCCAAGGAGGCCCCCACGGCCTCCAGAGCACCACTCAGGAGGCCCAGAGGGCCCAAGGGGCTCCGATGGGGCACGAAAGCTGGGGTTCTCGTTGACGAAATGGGGGTGGGTGGGGGGCAATAGGAGTGAGGCGAGAGACGGTCCACCTCTCGTGCACCTTCTAAGTCCACGGGGGCAGCGAAAGGGCCGTTCGGGGGCACTGTCCTGCAACCCTCCACGCCCCTCCACTGCTTGCCCCCCCTTGCCGTCCGGACCTCCGCCACCGCCTGGCGCCCGTCCGTGCCGTGGCCCGCATCTGCCCATGGCCTGGGCGTGGCGCTGCAGGGGCCCTCGCGCCACCCGCCGAGCGACATCGGGGGCGTCCTTGGCCCGAGGTACGTGCGCGGACGAGGGAGGGACCGAGGGACGCAATGCATTTAGGAAAGGCGGTCCTGAAATCCGAAGAGGTACCTGGCCCCGGCCGGCCCCCATGATCATCACCCCCCTCGTTGCGCTCCCGGAGCGGGGGCGGAAAGTACGGGTACGATGCCCAACAGTGGTGACTGTTCATGTGGAAAAAGGATAGTAGCTGTCCTTCGGAACCCTTCCGACCAGAAGTCTGTGCATGTTGAGAACTGTTCTTGCATATCTGGACAAGTAGCGCTGCTAAGTGGACAATAGTGACACGATTTGCTGTGTTGCGGGTCCTGGACGACAGCACATCCTGTTCCAGATGATAGCGCGCTGCTGTTGGGCATCGTACCCCTATTTTCCGCCTCCACTCCGTGAGCGCACTCTCGGCCGCCCCCGACGACAGGCGCTGCTCCTGCGCCCAGGCGCAAGCCGGGATCCGGCGCGGCCTGTGCTGGCAGGGTGGTGTCGACGCTTTGGCGGACAGGTCCAGCCGCACGCGCCGCTCGCGGATAGGCAGAGACGATGCCGCGCCGGGCGAGGCATCACTGCCACGGCCAAGCCCTCCGCAAGTGGCAGCATCGGGCGAAGGCTCTCCGAATAGCTCGTCAATGCCTGGAGATCCAGGCCCATTGGCGTCTGTTGCAATGCCCGTCGGAGTTTTTCCGCGCCGCTCGTCCTCGCCCAGTTTCGGGCCCCAGGACCCTCACAGATCGATCTGGGTCGAAACATGTTGCCGAGCTTTACTTGCGGCGTTGCAGCTCTTTCGAGACGTCGGATCTCAGGGTAAGCGTGGGGGGGATCGAATGGGGTGGTCAGAATGGGCCGTCTGCGGGGGCGTGGGGGGGGGGATCGCATGGGCCGCGGGGCGCCGGGGGGCGAAACGCGTTCGGGGGTGAGCTCGGTGCGCGTGGGTGGGGGGGCAGGACGGACTTCGGGCGGCGGACTTCGGGCAGAGGTGATGTAAGGGGGGGGATGCTCATTAAACGACTTGGAATAAGCTGCGTCGTGAGTGCCGCCGCTGCGCTGTGGGAGGCCGCGCTTCGAGAGGTCAACAAATCCGCGCTCCCGGTGGCGGACCACACCCGGCTCCGCTGCGGCGGCGGGCATCGGCTCGGAAGGCGCCAACTATACACATACGCCGACCCGGAACACGCCCATTCTGGCCCCAGGATCCTGGCCGAAACAGGAGGGTGTATACACGGGTCCTTGGCCCAGAACAGACCCGGCCAGGATCAGTGTCTGTGAGCTGGCGCTCTCCTGTCCTACTGGCGCGAGGGCCTGGCCGCCCGCCCCTTGGCCGCGAGGGCGATGGCGCTCCAGGCCCCCTGCGTCGTCAGCGGGCATCTCGTGGGCACCCTACAGTCAGACTGCTGCAATCAGGAGCGCTAAATGAAGTACGGATCGCCTCTTTGGTACCAAGAGAGCCTGGGTGCACGAGGCGGGCTGGAAGAACAAACACAGAACGACCTAAGGAATATCGAGCCCCTTACGAACCCAAAGCGGTCGTTAGTTCAGCGTCTTGACTGTAACCCATTCCAGGGCCAGATTCGTATCTGTCGTCGCTGGCCACACGCTGCCCAAGTGGCTCAACTGAGGGCCTTCCTGGGCGGCACACTTCGGCCCCCCCTGCGGGCGCAAGGCACCGCGCCGGCCAGGCGACTGAGGCATGCCAACTTGACGTTCCAGAAGAAAATTGCACAACTGTTCCCGTGTCCCCCAATTATACCTGCCGTGCGCCGCTCGTATACACGATACTATGCTCCAGATCTCCCTTCAGACGTCCGCCCTGGCTCCCTTTTCTCCTCAACTGGAAGAGCAGATCTCCTCGAACGAATAACATTGCTTCCCGAATGCCACCCCCGAAGAGTAGTAATATCTGCCCCTTGATCTGGGGCCTTCTGCAAAACCGTCGACTCCGTGAACTTCGGTCGCCAAAAATAAATACGGAAAGAATGGGCACGATGCCCAACAGCAAATGTTGTCCAACATCGACAGCGACCGCTGTTGGGCATATGGTCTTCTGTCGCACATTTACAAGGCGACAGCGATCGCGAGCCCTGTTCAGAATGGGCAGGAACTGCTGCCAGTCATCGCCCCTCCTCTTCCCACACCAGTTCCGACCGTATCGATGAGCGGGGGCCACTCAGCACACGCTGGAGGGGGGCAGGTCGAGCGGACGGCGGCCCTTCCTGGCGTACTTTGTCCTCTTTGGGCCTCCTGGGGGGCTTCTCGTCGGCACGGCCGGATTCGCCTCGAACAACTAATTTGGATGGACTGACTTTGATCGGATTCGGTCCTCCTAAAACTGTTTGTTTTCTGGGTGCGCTCCTTCTCTTACCCCGGGTGGAATGCCCGCCAGCGCAGATAACAACCACCTTTTTGGAATCTGTCATGCTGTGGGCATTAATAAACCAAACAAGCTGGGAACACTTATTTTGAGACCCGCGCCATGGGTTGCCGCTCGCCCAAAGGCTGTGCATCGTAGCCGCGGATCTGTATCCGCTTCCGCATATACATACATGTGTGTGTATACATATATATATATATATATATATATATATATATGTAGCTATATAAATATAGAGAGAGATACACTAGAACCACGCGCGCGATTCGTGCGCGCTGAGGCTCTAGCACGCCCCAGCCCTTGACACCCTGACTCGCGCAATTCTTGGGGTGCATCTCGGGGGCCTGGGGGCCTTGTGGGCGCTATCGGGAGGTTCTCAGGGTTCCTTAGTGTGAAAGCCCGTGTCATAGAGGTCCCCTGGGGCTCCCTCGAACCCTCTAAAGGGTACCGAAGAAGCGCCATATGGTGACCCCCGGAGGGGCGGAACGGAATGGGGCCATTTTTGCCTCTTGGGGCTTTCTTGGGAGGCCTCTTGTGTGCCTCTTGGGGCGTCTTGGGGGCTTCTTGGCGGTGCTTGAGGTATCTCAGAGGCCATCTTGAACGTCTTGGCGGCATCTAAATCGTCTTGAAGCGGGGAAGCGAGCTCCTGGAGCCCCGGAACCGCCATAGGGGAATTAGCCTGGGCCCTCCCCAGGGCCTGGAACGCCTCTTTGGAGCGTCTTCGGTTCGCTTGGGAAAGTCTTGGGGGCCTCTTGGACCGTCTTCAAAGCCGTGAAGGCCCCCAAATCGTAGATGCTTGACATGTACGTTTCGCCTACAGGAATGTAACGAATTCGGTCTCTAGGGATACTCTTGGGAGTGCTCTTGGAGGCCTTGGACCTTCTTGGGGCCATCTTGTGCAGTCGTGAGCGACTAGGGGCCTTCTTGGGCCTTCTTGGGGCCCGTTTTGGGGCTAGCTTGGGCAGTCTTGGGCAGCCTTTGGGCCGTCTTGGCCCTCTCTTGGGCTGTCTTGAGGGCCTCTTGGGAATGTCTTAGGCTCCCTTGGGCAAGTCTTGGGAGCCTCTTGGACCGTCTTCAAAGCCGTGAAGGCCGAAACATCGCATATGAAAAAATGTACGTTTCCCCGTAGGAATTCAACGAGTGTGGCTTCTTGGGGCCCTCCTGGGAATGCTCTAGGAGGCCTCTTGATGGTAAGATAGCGCCCACCACTGCGCATATACTGCAAGATTTCTCGGCGGGCGCGTCGCTCCTGGGAGGACGACGCACACATAGAGTTAGTGTGTTGGCTCGCCGCCGAGCGCTGGGAATACGGGCCAAGGTGGGTACCTCAGATCACGGCGAACCGCAAGCCTTGCTCTGCACGCCCGCGCGCCCACCTCTGAAAATGCAGCACTTGTCCTCCTCATCCTCCTGCAGCAAGCGTGTCACATTCGACGTCTTCCTCCTTCTCTTCCTCTTCCCGGGCTCCTCGCGAATGAACGACTTGGACCTCTTCGCATCCTCAGCGAAGTCACCCTTCTGCTTGCCCTCGTGCCACTCGGTGACGCGGCTAATGTTGGCCAAGCCGCGGTCGTGGGACTTGCATGCGCGAACATGCAATGAGACACTGATGCTCACGAACCCTCCCGCGAATACAAGCGCGCGGAGTTCACATAGATGCAATGGTGGCATGTGCGGAGAAGGGGGATACAAGGAACAACTAAAGGGATGATTGTGAAATTGAACGTGGTGAGGTTCGAAACGAAAGTATCAGCGTGCCGGGATCGCGCCATCATCGCCAATCAGGCTGAATCAACGAAACCCAAATCAATGTGAAACGTATCGCTAATACGGTTTACCAGAAACCTACAGTTCCACATCTCTCTCTCTCTCTCTCTGCCAGCCCCGACGCTACGGCTGTAGTGCACGCGCGCCGTTTGTGCCCAAAACTCGATTGGCGCGCACATGTTGGATAACATAGCTAGCTTCGACTGTGGATGCCACGACTGGCGCTGCTTCATAATACTGGCAATTGATGTCATCCCACGTGGACCACCATGCCATTGCGACAACAAGCGACCGACCACGGTCCAACGAGACAGCGAGAGGACGAGAGATAACGAGCGAGAGAGAGATAGAGAGAGGAGAGAGTGAGAGAGAGGGAGCAGCGATAGAGAGAGAGGGAGTGAGACAGAGAGAGGACATCGATACATAATGGATAGGTCTATAAGAGAGGGAGAAGAGAGAGAGAGAGAGAGAGAGAGAGAGGGAGAAACAAAGAAAGACAGCGAGAGCGAGAGAGAGAGAGAGAGAGAGAAAGAGAGAGAACGATAATATAGCAAGAGAGAGAGAAGGGAAAGAGAGAGAGAGAGCGAGAGAGAACGAGAGAAGAGAAGGGACGATAGAGGAAGAGAGAGAGAGAGAGACAGAGAGAGAAAGAGAGAGGGAGAGAGAGCGATAGAGAGAAAGAGAGAGACGATGCATTCATATACCTATACGTATATAAAATACTAAGAGGGAGAAACAGAGAGAGAGAGAGAGGGAGAGAGAGAGAGAGAGCGCAACCAAACAAGAAGGCAGAGAGAACGAATAATGAAATATAGAACGAGGGAGGCGAGAGAGAGAGAGAGAGAGTGACAACGAGAACGGTAGAGAGACTGCTACGTGCCCTCCACATCCTGGATCCAACCATTGATTGCACTTGTGTGGCAGAACTGAGGATGTCGGACGATCCTTGGCTGCTCGTAGGCGGTCCTCCTGACAGATCGGTGGCAAGAAAACTTGTGAAGCGCCGATTGACGAAAAAACGAGCCACCACTGGCCAGAGAACATGCCACCGACTATCTGTCATACAAACAGACAAACACCAATCTACCATATCGGAAATTCAATTATTATTCGACCGGAGCCCTGGGGGCAGATATCCAGGATCCTGGACGCTTCAGGGAGCAACGCTGATCTCCATCAACGGTGCATGGCCGAATCAGTTATAGCACGAGCGGGATCCAATGACTTTCGACACATACACATGAGTTGACGTCCCACGAGGACATCAACGAATTGCCTGCAATTGCCAGGACTCTTCATGCACAATTATTCGCTGTCGACTTGGATAACGTTTAACCCGTGGGTCTTTGGACAAGTGACAAGTATGCCGCATCACGCTGCCCAGCCGCAAACACTGTCTCAGAAACGTCAGAGTACGGGGGCCGAACGGTCTTATGCCATCCCTGGGTGCGTGTCTGAGGTGGGCCTCCGTGGTGACATTTCTCACAAGCATTATTGTTGACTCCCCCCGCAATGCCCCTCTTGTTTTCCATTGAAGTACCCCTCTGGGGCTCGCACTTGTTTACAAGGGAACGTCTTGAGGCTCATGTTGGGTTGCTGGCCTTCGGTCTACCACAACAACGGCTTACGCCTGATAGTTTCTCACCAGTTATTCAACATCGCGCTCTCGCGTGGTATTTCCTCGCAAAGGATTGAGACGCCGCGCCTTGGACACTCAATAATCACGCTCTCGCTCTGCGCTTCCTCAAAAAATAATATTTAATCGCTCTATCGCTCGAACTTCCACACGATTCATGTTGGATTGACGCAACAACGACCCGCCCGCTCGACCCGGCCGTCTGGGCCCGCCCGCCCGACCCGCCCGTCTGGTTCTACCGCTTGTATACTCCTGCTCCTGACCCCCCATCCTGCAAATCTCTCGTGCTCCATCCATCCTTCTCACTCCCCATTGCCTCTTCCCTACTCCCTCACCTCCGCTGTTTCAGGGGCTGCGACAACGACAAGTGGCAGGCAAGACAGATATACCCCCAAGGGAGTACGATCGATGATGAACGTGGACAAGGGCGGAGGACCCGCCTGATGCCTGGGAACGCGGCGCCTGATCTGATGAGATCGCGGGCCGGCGGCACGACACGAAGGACTCGTCAAGGAGTCCCGGGGCCATGCTCTGGCAGTGCCCTCCACGGGGCCCGGAGGATGTCTTGAGGACCCCCCGAGGCCTTTGCCGGAGGAGCCCCGAGGCTGTGCTGAGGCATCCGGCCCGCACGGGCCTCCTCTGGACTCCGGAGATCCCCAAGGCTTCCACTGGAGGCCTCGGGCTCTGCCCAAGAAGTCCTGCACCCCGGAGGGGATGCGACTGGCTGGGGCCGACGTCGCCGCTCGAGGAGCCTCCTGCGAGGGCCTGGCCTCTTGGAGGCGAGCGGCGCGGGCGGCGGCGCTTCGGAACCGCTTCGTCCAAGAACGATCTCATTCTCCCCGTGCTCCCACCCCCTTCGTAGCGGGCGAAGGGCGGTACAAACCACACTTCTTCCACCATCGGGGGCGCCTGTCCCAGGGCGGCTGGACAGTTTGCACCCCCCCCCCGTCACCGCAAAGGTTTAGACTTCACAGCCACCCGGGACCGGCGGCCCCGAGGGCGGACGAGCTGATTTTTCTGCCTCTCGTTGTCCGCCCACTCCCCTCCTTCTGCGGCTGCGCCTGCCCCGCCCTGTCTCTCCCCCCCCTGCGCAGTGGGGGTCCTCCGCGATGAACTTCTTCACGTCCCTCTCCGAATCGACCTCGGCGGAGGGGACGTGCAAGCCCTTGACAAGGAAAGCGCGAGCTCCGGTACGGCTGGTTCGCGTCGTGTCGACCCCGGCGTTGGTTCCTGACACCGCGGGGATCGTTCAACCTTGAACGATCGGCTGTTCCCGAAGCGTCAGATCGTTCAACCTCAACCGATTCAGGGTCGCTGGCGGCGGTCAAAATTGAACGCCGGCGGCTGGGTCGCCGCTGGTCGACATGACATGAATCTACCGTATCCGAAAATTTGGCGGAGAAGCATCAGTTCACGATCATGGCAGGTGCGATCAGGCGGCAATTGCAGTCCGCAGTTGGCGCTGATTTCTGGTGGGCGAGAATCATTCGCTGCTGCCCGCATCATGGCAGGCGTGCACGTCTTCGCAGAACCCGCTGTCATCGATGAAATCATTCAACGTCGCGACATAAAGCCAGATAAACCACAAAGAAATTCGTTCTCAAATGGCGTGATCAGCAAATCGGCCCTCGCAACCATAATGCCAAAATTTGATGTCAAAATCCCCGCCTGAACTGTCCCGTATCTTTCTGTCAACCCCACCGGGTAAACGGGTGAAATCGAACACGCCGCTGCGAGTGGGAGCCCCCGAGCCTCCCCGAGATCCGAGTTCGCGAAAAAGATGCAACCTTGCGAAACATCACGACCGGACCCTTGGGCTCCATCTGTCTGCGGCACTTTTCGAGCCAGATCGATCTGTGATGGCCCCAGGCCCGGCGAGGGCCCCCAGCGGCTGGAAAGAATGAAAAGCTTTCCGTCGTGATTTTGTCACGACGCGACAAGGGCGCGCCGTCGAGAGGAGGCCGCGGCGGCGGCGGAACCCGCCAGGGCGGGCCACTGTGGAGCCCCAAAGACCGAAAACGGGCCCCCCCGGCAAAGAGCTCGGGCCATCAACTCGTGGTCCGTGCCGCTCCTGCTTTTCTGCAAGCGCTGCGCCTGCTACGCTTCCGCGCGCTGGTTGGCCCTCAAAAGTCAGCGCTGTGAGCCAGCGAGGTCCGGGACTCCTGGGAGGGAGGCTGGCCAGGTTGCGGGACGGACGTCGCCTGACTATTTGGCCAGTCCCTCTAGTGCGCCCCTGCAGCTCGGTTAGGCCGTGTGCAGGGAGGCGTGTCCACAAGCGGGCTTATCCCATACAAATTTCCGCCCCCTGCCCCGAGGAGTCTAGGAAGTCTGGCGAAACACCCGTTGCGAACAACAATTGCATTTGCCCAAATCCCAACGAACAAGCAGACAGACACCGGAAAAAGGCCCGGGGGACGGCCCTGTTAGGAGCTCGGCGCAGGCGCCGTAGCGCCGAACATGTTGTACACGGTTTCAAAACAACGTGGCAAGGTGTCCAACCCAGTGCCATTTTGCCATGTATGCGAAACGATATTTGACTATCCATCGAGTCTTGTTCGCGAGATGTGGTAGCGTAGGGGACAACATGCGGCAATCCCCATCTTCACCGATAGACCGAACAATTCCTGCAGTATCCTTTTCCAGGCGTACAGGTGCTGACAAGTCTGATGATAAACACTCGTGCTGAATCAACACTACATCTCCTTGCCTGAGAATCGTTGAGCTCTCCAAGGCTTGCCAAGGGAATCCGTCCGAACCCGCTTCCATGGGACCGCTCAACCTATGGCAACCCACCTGCTCGCTCGTGTCGGGATGTATCTGATCGGTTCCGTTCTCATACACGTACTCAGCCTCATATGTTATCACGCTCCATGCTCCGGCTTGTACTTCTCGAGAAATCTTGAAACCATTGCGAACACCCAATCATAAAACAGAAAGCCACGTCTCGCCGAACACAGCGCGTGCCCCGACTTCCGAAATAGACCAAATACCGTCCGAAACTGCCCCATCACAGGGGCTCAATACAGATACAAACTTGGAATATATACGCTTCGCGATGTTCGAATCCTCCAGCTCGGCTGTTTGCAGAACATCCATTCCATCTCAATGAGTATGACTGCATTCCAGGCCTGTGATAATCATTCTAAGGTCTCGGCTGAGTTGCGCCACGTTCTTCACCAGGACTACCAAGAGCAATTAATTCTCCAGCCCGCACACTCTGTCGTCAACCTTTTGATGCTCTTCTAGCCGTACTCTGAGTGTCCGGACTTCCGATTCGAGTTCCTGAACTCGCGTCGTTAGCTTATCCATCGTCTCGACGGCATGTGGGGAGCTTTCCAGAATCACAAAGAAATCGCTTGCTGGCGATCCAAATAGTGTGCCATCCACCGGCGATGCGGCAGAGCGTCCCTTGCGAACCATGGTGGTGGTGGTGCAACAATAAAGCATGCTAGAATGTAGTTCAGATAGAACGGGCAACCGACAGCCGCGAGCCACAGCCGCAGTCGCCAGCCAAACAAGTCGGCCGACAGCTGGCAGCCAGTAGCTGCAGGCGGCAGTGAGCTGCCTTGAGCCACTTTCGTTGCCCCCAACTCTCAAGGCTCCCCGCGCCCCTCCCGACGAGGGCGGCGCCTTCTTCTTCGGGGGCATCGCCCGATCGCGCGCCGCGCCGCGGCAGGCTTCGCCGCAGGTGCGCGGGTGAGGGGCAACGATAGGGGGCGGCACTAGCCCAGGGGGGGGGGGGGAAGCATTGACCTGGAACCGGCGACAGGTTGCCGATTGCTCGGCGATAAGCCCCTAGTGGCGAATCCTCACGCTCCTGGGCGGGGTGGGGCTATCAGACCCGTATCGGCAACCAATGGGTGATTGGGGGTCGATGCGTTCCCCCCTGAGCCTATCCCGAGCCTATCCTTAGGTCGGGCCTGTCCCCCTACAGGGGGATCTTGGACGAAAATTAACAATACTCAAGAAATGCTCACCAGATGCCCAAACATGCTCACAAAACGGTCCCCAGACTATTGTTGGACTATTTTTGAACATTCCCCCTGCAGAGGGACAGGCCCGACTTGAGCCTATCCCTTCCGTTGCCCCAAGCGGTTTTCGGGTCGTGCTTCGGCCATCCGGCGACGTTCGGGGCGACCTGGGCACCCACGCAGCGCCATCGGCGAGGCGCAGCCGCTGGAGGGCACCCGAGGCTGGAAAACCGCCGAGAACTAACGAGCACGCCCCGAAATCTGCAACTTCGAACCCGAAGCCTCCCCCCCCCCACCAGAGCGGCGAGCAGAGAGAGGGAAGCGGAGGGCCTATCCCCCCCTTTCGTTGACCCTAGGCGGGGCTCTCTCCGACGTCCGGCGCGCCGCCCGTTTGGGCAGGCTCTCGCGGCACCGGCGGGCTCTCGGCGCTGGCGACGGTGGCGCGGGCGGCGCGGGCGGCTGGCTGGGCTAAGCCGCAGAGTGACGACGACGAACTCGACGACGACGACGAAAACCAAATCAATGACGACGACGACGAAATCGACGAGGACGACGACGGCGAAATCAATGACGACGACGAAATCGATGACGACGACGACCAAATCAATGACGACGACGAAATCGTCAACGGCAACGACGAAATCGACGACGACGACGAAGTCGACGACGACGGCGAAACCGTCGACGACGTCGTCGACCTCGACGACGACGGAAACGAAAACGACGAGGGCCCAGCGAGGCCGACCTGACCGCGCACGTGTGGCACACCCAACGAGGCTCGGCGGCGAGCGAGGCGGGGAAATGATTCGGAAAAGGCCTTCTCAGAAGGCGGCGGGGCTTCTCAGAAGGCCTCCGGCCTTCTGAGATTTTTTGTTTTCGGGAAAGAATTAGACAACTTCTCAGAAGGCCGGAGGACTTCCGAGCTTTCTTAGAAGGCCTTTTCCTTCTCGTGTCCCTCCTGGGCTCGCCGCTGAGAGGCGCTCTGGGGGCGCAAAACCGGCACGCCCATGCAGCGCCGATCCTGGCCAGTTCCGTCCTCTTGCACAGGATCGGTGCATGCGCCCTCCTGGGCCTTGCCCAGGGTCGGCTACACGCAAAAGCGACCCTGGGCAAAAGTAACCTTTGGTGAGCGGCTTTTTGGAGAGGACGGAGGGTTGTGGAGTATGCGGTTGCCACACTCCGTGTATCGACTCTCTTTCTCTCTCTCTCCCTCTCTTTCTCCCACAGCCCTGGTGGTTTGCCCAAGACCATCCTTTGTTCTCCCTCCTTCAATCTCGGTGCCCCGCCCTTTCTCCGTTATCCCTCTTTCTCTCTGTCTCTGTCTCTTCTCTCTCTCTTTCTGTCTCTCTCTCTCTCTGTCTCTCTCTCTCTCTCGTCCTCCTCCTTCTCCCGCTCCTCCTCCTCCTGGGGGCTTAGAAAACTTGGCCAGGCGTGTTTTTTTTTTGGGGGGGGTGAGCTCAGAAATACTGGCCAGGCGTTGGTTTCTCTGGTTTTTCTAGCCTGGGAGCTCAGACAGCATGGCCAGGCGTTGGTTTTTCTAGTTTTCCCGGTTTGGGAGCTCAGAAAACCTGGCCAGGCGTTTTTTTTTTTTTTTTTTTTTTTTTTTTTTTTTTTTTTTTTTTTTTTTTTTTTTTTTTTTTTTTTTTTTTTTTTTTCTGGTCTGGGAGCTCAGGAAACATGGTCAGGCGTTTTTAATATAGTTTTTCTGGTCTGGGAGCCCACAAAACATGGCCTGGAGGTTGGGGGCTTGCGAACTACAGCCATCAGGCAAGCAACACCAACACGAAAAAAAAACCTAGCCAGGTTTTCTGAGCCCTCAGACAAGAAAAGCAAAACCAAACAACGCCTGGCCAGGTTTTGTGGGCTCTCAGACCAGAAAAATTAGACAAACCAGCGCCTGGCCATGTTTTGTGAGCCCTCAGGTCAGAAAAAACAAACAATCAAACAAAAACGCCTGACCAGGTTTCGTGAGCTCCCAAACAAAAAAAAAACAGAAAACAACGCCTGGCCAGGTTTTGCGAGCCCCCCAGACCAGAACCACAAAAAAAACAACGCCTGGCCGTGATGCTGTCCAAAGGATTCTTTCCAAAGGATTCCTTTTGTGAGGCATTCCAATCGGATTCCTTTATGGTGCTTTCCAAAGAGTTCCTTTTGTTATGTTTTCCAATAGAATCCTTTTGTGATGCTTTCCAAAGGATTCCTGTTGTGGTGCTTCCCAAAGGATTCCTACTGTGAGGCTTTCCAATAGAATCCCTTCGTAGTGCTTTCCGAAGGATTCCCTTTATGAGGCTTTCCAGTCGGATCCCTTTGTGGTGTTTTCCAAAGGATTCCTTTTGCGAGGCTTTCCAACAGAATCCCTTTGTGGTGCTTTCCAACGGATTCCTTTTTTTGAGGCGTTCCAATAGGATCCCTCTGTGGTGCTTTCCAGAGGATTCTTTTTGTGAGGCTTTCCAGCCGATTCCCTTTGTCAGGCTTTTCAATAAGAATCCCTTTGTGGTGCGTTCCAACAGATTCCCCTTTTCGCGAGGCTTTCCAATATCATCCCCTTGTTGTGCTTTTCAAAGGATTCCTTATGTGAGGCTTTCCAATAGAATCCTTTTGTCGCGCTTTCCAAAAGATTCCCTTGATGAGGCTTTCCAATCGAATCCCCTCCTGGTGCTTTCCACAGGATTTTTTTTGTGAGGCTTTCCAATATGATCCATTGCTATGTAGAGGCGGAGGAGGAGGAGGAGGAGGAGGAGGAGGAGGAGGAGGAGAAGGAGGAGAGGAGGAGACGAGATAGAGAGAGAGAGAGAGAGAAAGACAGAGAGAGAGAGAGAGCGCGAGCGGAGGAGGATGAGGAGGAGGAGGAGATATGTATGATCATGTGGGGGGGGGGGGGCGAGCTATATGGTCGCCCCCCCCGCCCACATGATCATAATTATCTCCTC